GGGGGGAGGGATAGACGAATGTGGAGCAATTGTACACCGATTAATAGCGAGATACAGGTATCGACGAAAGCAGAGGTGAGTAATCAGTAGCGAGTAATGCAAATTAGAGCGCGGGTGGGGGGTGGAGTTTGATAAAACGGGAGCGGACGGTGAGAAAGTCAAAGTGACAGGGGGAGATCACGAGAGTGTTCGGACGAGGTCAGGGAGCATGGTGTGGTGTATTGTAGTGGAGGTGTGGTGGGGAGTAGAGGAGAGAGAAAAAAAAAGAGTGACCAATTAGACGCGAGCGAAATGCCGATGGTCTCGCGCGTGACATCTGGGGGGGACTCACCCGTCGGGCTTTGCTTTGATACTTGAGTGCTTTTTTGGTGTCCTGCGTGGCCGTCTGCACGTAGTCCACCGCGTGTTCCACGTGGTACTCTATGCGATCTATCATCTCGCCCTAAGGTAGGCGCGCGAATCCAACGCAGCGTAACACACAGGGGAAGAGAGAGAAGAGCGTGATTAGTACGCGAGAATGAGGAACAGCCTGAATATGTTCAACCGCGGACCGTCCCACGGCCCGTATCACGTCGCTGTGCTTTTATCGTGTCATGCGCTACGTCGCACAGCAGTCGAAGATAAATATTTCTTGGCCGAAACTCATTTCCTCGAGTTTCACGTCTCAAGTTGATAAGTGTAATTTTATGATGCCTTATAATTAAATCACTATAAACTGTTGTCACTTATTATTCTTTTATTACTCGTCGGTAAATGCGATGCTAAAATTGTCGTTCGTTCGAAGGCAACCTTTAGTGATATCTTGTTACACAGTCAAAATTGTGCTACATATTACATTATTTTAAATATAGGGGTGGTTACTATATAGTTATGATTTTTATATGTATATATTTGATACGCTGAAAGAACCTGCTAAGAAGTAATTTCAGATTTTGTTGAGTTTCTCTTATTTCTGAAATGTGATAACTAGGTTTGCGATTTGAAATAAACGTAACTTTACAATGGAAGAGTGTTTCCTTGCCAATAATTCAGAAAATTTCCGTATGTAAGAGTCATTTTTACCAAGAATTAATAATTTTCATTGAGATTCAGAGTTTTGGCCAAAAACTTTTACTTTCAAGCCACCGTGCGTCGTCCGGCGTGTTGCGCCGACATCGACGAACGAACGAACGACCAAGGAAAGTAATGGACCGCCGACAAACAAACAACGCGGCGGAGCCGTCAACGGTGGACGTAGTAGCAGCGAGTAGTAGGGGTAGTAACAACGCGGAGAGTAACAACGCGGACGTTTACGAAAACACAAGCGATTTACGAGAAAAGAGAGAAAACTACACCGAGTATATTTAATCGTGAGAGATAACTCGCGACAGGAATCTCCTGTTATAACGTGCAACAACAACCGCGCGGAGCGAGGTAATACGATTCAATATTTTCAGCCGGCACATAACATCGAATACGGAGCTTTTACGCGAAAGTTCAGTTAATAATCCGAGATTGTTGAGATTTCGCGAGAGACAGCGCGCGCGAGAGAGAAAGAGAGAGACCGTTTCGACGGGGTATGAACGTTGCGGTAATTACTTTGCTTAGTCGTGCGAAACGAGATAGTTGGCTCGCGTAAACGGTACCGCGACATAAACAGATTATTATTATTATTATTGTTGTTGTTGTTGTTATCAATATTAATATTATTATTATTATCATTATTATTACTATCATGCAAAGGAAAAAGCGCAATGCGCTGAGGCCTCAAGTTTTCCGACGTTTAACGACCGAAGATTTTCTTCGTCACAAAAATGTGCGAGATTTTACGCGAGAGACGATCTTCCACCACAGAGCGAACTTGAGACTTCACACGCATCGGAAGAATTTCCCTTCGATTAGCGGACAGCAAACGCGCGCTCGTGTTACGTGGGCCGAGATATTATTATGAAGAAAACCAGATTAGTGGGATGTTACACTGCGTCGCGCTACACTTCCTAATTGGTTTCCGTTCATCATTACGTAAGAACAATCCCGGGTAATCAATGGAAAAGTAAGATTGACCGCGGAGCGAAAGTACCCTTCAAATTATCATGTCAATTAACTCGGCGACGAGGACGACTTGATTGCGAATCGGCCGCTTACGTTCGGCCGATCGCCGAGGAACGATGCCGTTCAAGCATCTCCCAATAAAGCATCTCAATCGTTAATCAAATCGATAGTTCTGGAGGAAAATTGAAACGTGCATTTGAAGCGAAAGAGAGTGAGAGAGAGGGGGGAGAGAGTGAGATCAATCGAGTGAATTTTCTCGATTCTCCACGACGTTTCCACGTCTTTACGTTTCACAGTCGAGGTGAAGTTCGGCTCGCGCGAATCGGACGATTTTTCCCCGACGGCGATAAATAAAAGAGAGGGCGAATCAAGTTTTTATTCGCCCGCTAAATTCCCCAACTAGCGTTAACGTGAAACGCGAGATATATCTGCGTCCCGAGGAATGCGATCGCGAAGAGGACGCTGCCGCGATCTGACCCGCGATTTTTCTCGAGAGATTCTGAGAAAATCCATGCAGATATTTTTCGTCATTTCGCCTTTTTTTCTCTCTCTCTCTCTCTCTCCCTCTCCGTTTCTCTTCGTCAAATGCACATGCGAATTTACGTTCGCGCGACAGCGCAAAAGTCACGCTCGTTACCGACTGCCGCAGGATTAACAGCCGGGTGTTTGCGATTGTAACCCAATGAGAGTTGATCCGATTTCTGCGGTAACGCGGGTTTAATTGCAGTTATTACGATTAGGCTCTCGCGCCGTGTCCACGTGTATATACGCACGCGAAATAATAACGTATTAATATCGCGTCATAATAACGAAATCACCGTTGCATTATACGCATTTGCAGCGCGTGAACAGGCGAAATCGCAAGCCTGGGGCGGTGGATAACGAACGTGTATCGAACGGTGAAAAGATCGTATTTGGAATCGACGATAAATCGAAACGTATCAAAGTAAAATCAATCGCGTTCGAGTTAATCACAGTGAAGTTCTCTCTTCCTAAAACATGGACATTAATTTCTTTTCCTTTTCTACGAATATATTGTTCACATTTCGCGAACCAAAGGAGACTCCTACGTCCTCCCCTTGGAAGGAAAGATACCGGATACCGTTGTCGTTCGTTGAAAGGAGCAAAGTATTTTTTGTCTCAGGGGGTACATGAAGCTGCGGGGCCTTACCTGACTCTCGACCAGCATGGCCATGTCCATGAACATGTCGTGGAGCTCCCTGATCGAGTTTTCGAGCTTAATGATGTCATTGTGACGCGCTTCGATGTCCGCGAGGGTCTGTTTTGCTTGTTGCGTCTCCATGATGATCTGCGACAAGCGGTAAGATTAATTAGACGGTAAGAAAGGCGGAGGGCCGATTATGAACCGCTCCTCGGAGCGTACGCGAGAGAATGATCATTAAGGATGTACCCCTTGCGTGAAGACGGCTGGATTGCCTTGCTCCAACATCTCTTCCAGTTCCTCATTAGTGGTCACTTTCCCCGCTGGAAGCAAAAATATTCTCCTTCGTCTCTCGCGCAACGGGGACGCTCAATCGCCGTCCGATCGGTACGTTGCCATCGAGCCGTCGTCGCAATCGTTTACGTCGACTCTTCGACTTTCGATAAACGTTCATCGTAATTATCGTCTATTGCATCTTGTCGCTCGTAGTGCGCTGTTTAAACTTACGGAGCAAGAATTTCCGCGCGCTCAGACAGCTGGGAGCGGTTTAGTTATCAGAAATAGTGAGAACAATGAATTTTGAATATTGTCAATATTAATATTGTTTGCTGCGGTTTTCGTAATCATCAACGCGCGAACGAAGTGAAATCTGCATGACGATAACGATTCCGTATGCTTTCTCCTCGACTTCTTCCGCTCGGACGAAAAGGGAACGCGAGCAATACGCTGACGAGCGTGTGTCCCGAAAGCGGTGGGCGGACTCGATGCAAGAACAGATTGGAAAAGGGCTGTTCCACTCGAACGGGCATTCAGGCTGAATGCGTCCAATCGCGACGCATATACTCACTGATCTCGAGCTGTCGTTGTATTCTCCCCTTACACCGCTCCCTGTAATCGGTCTGTGTCCGATTGTACTCCGTCATAACCTCCACGAACTTCCTGGACAACGTCGAATGCTGGGTCTTGCGTATCCTCAGATCCGCCGACGATTTGTTCGTGTGCTCCTCCGTCTCGATGTTCTGCTCTATCACTGAGCGCGGGAAATAGAGATTCGTTCTGTCATGGCGGCGACGTACGATCGGTCGATCGATCAATCGATCGATCGATCGTCGCGCGCGCGCGTCGCGCCATATCTCGCTATCATTATCGAATCGCCCGATTGAACTTACCCTTTAACTTGGCTCTGACTTTGTTAGCAGTTTTCTTGATGTCAGACATCAGGTCCTCGAGCTCCATTTTGATCTCTGAAACAGAACGAGATATCGACGTGGTTATCCGCGTGTCAGGGATCCCCGGGAGTTCGCTGTCATTTCTTAATGTGCTCGCGCTCTCTGCAGAAGGTAGAAGTTCTATTTGGAATCTGGGACGACGAGTGTCGTTTGGGGAACCCGCGGATATCATTGTTATTATTATTATTGCGATGGTGCTTCTATATTTGGCGAAACGGTTCACGATATATATAATCACACAGAATGCCCTGAACGAATCTCAGTTCCCGTAATACGCAAGCGGAACGAACGAGCAGAAAAGCCATGTACCGTTTTGCAAAATTCCCAATAGTTTGGGACACCCTGTATATACAAACGACGCGAGTCTCGCGTGTAAATATGCGCGAGACACAATGCCGCCGTTAATCATTGGGACGCCGAGATACGCGCGTCCGTAGAGATATATTATTTCTCTCTCCGCGGATGCGCGAAGTCACGCTCGCGTTTCGGGCCCCGAAGTCGATGCTTCGATTCCGCGTAAGGAGGTCGTGCATTCGCCGTGATATACGGGCACATTGTTCAGCATCATATTGATCGAGGAACAGTCGGGGTACGCGCGCACAACTTGTCGTAGTCGGCGGTAGTATGCGAGGAAACTTTCAAATTCCCGCAAGACGGTGCTGGTCGCCGCTATCTGCTGTTCCCGCGCTGAAATTTACAACGCCCGATCCTCCTGTCCGCCTGCCTTTGCAATTCTTATTTCGCGGCCGTATATATTCAGGAGCCGCTCTCTGTAACTTTTCCACGAGCACGCGCTCCTTCTCTCTCTCTCTCTCTCTCTCTTCTGATACCAGCTGCGTGTTATCAGGAGGGCATAGCGAGTGTCGGCTTTGTAATTTGCAGCATATTTCGGTCGCACTTCGCGCTGCTCGAGAGGGAAAGAAATTTCGACTCACGGGAGCGATAAAGTGTAATCGCGGACGCGCGGTCGCATGGCGAAACGCCATCGAACGAATCCCTCGTAGAATATGATCACCTCGACGTGAGCATCTTGCGCGCACGATGCAACCGATGTGCTCTCGCCGATACGCTCCGGGAGCGCGAGTTCACCGTGGAGACGCGAGGAAGTCGCAAGGAAGTTGTTCGTTCCGATACACGAGGAGAGAGCATCTATTTCTTTCAGTTCCGTCGTATATACTCGACCCCTCCTCCCCTTCTCATCCTCTCAATTCGAAACTTAAATGCATCACGCATACACGCACACACGCGTATATACACATGCATATCTCGCGAAATCCTCCGGAGAATACGAGGCGTTCGGTTTCCCCGTTATAAATCAGCATGCCGGCTGATTCCGCGCCACGGCTGCGAATTAATCTAATTACGCGGCGAGCGTAGGCAAAGGCCATGATCTCTTCGCGATATCAGGTTCCGATATTCCAGGGATGAAGCCGTCCCACGCGCGTACGCGTTACAGATACGTCCCACGCGGCTCGCACCGCCCACGCGAGATTCTAAGCTCCCATCTCTGATAGAAGGCTCACTGCACTCTCTCTCTCTCTCTCTCTCTAGAGAGAGGAAGGCATTGTGATCCGTCTCCGTATCGCTTATGTAAGACGAGGAGGTGGTATTACGCTTTATGAAGAGTACGCGTCGTCGGCAGACGGAAGCGGCCGGAGAGAAATCTCTCCCGGCGATCGACAACTTCTCGAATGTAGAGACATTCGATGCGAGAAACGCGGGTGGAATTGCGAGGGAAAGAGGAGGTAAATTGAAATCTTCCGCTTTTAGCGACGAGATACCGCGCACGCGACGCTGATATTCGCCGATTCTTCGAGCGGGAGATCCCTCACGTACGACGCGGCACGTGAGGTTTGCGTCGGATCCAAGCCGAGCGTGCAAGTCATACAGCCTATCCCGCTACGGTGTGTACCGCCACCGAAGAAAACACCCCTCGAGCACCCCTAAAATCCAGTCGCCGTGAGATCCAAGGCCGGCCGACGGGACAGCATCGCGCTGTTCACGTTTCCTTCGGGAGCTCGAAAAGGCCGAGCCGTCCTGCCCGGGACACGTTCTCTTCTTGATCGTCGAGTGAACGGCGTGTAAAGGCGCAGTGACGGTGGTATTTTTGCAGCGGACACTTCGATTCAGCGCGTTCGCGGAGAAATGGTTCGTCGGAAAAAGTAACAAGCGAGAGAGGGAAAGAGAGAGAGAGAGAGAGAGAGAGAGGAAGAGAATCGCAGATACTCGACTTTGGACCAAGTTTCGGAAGATACCGGTTTTTTGCAACTTCTCCGCGGTCTTTTTTTGGTTTCTTATCTTCCCCACGAAATAAATAAACGTGACGAGTTTAAACCGAACACACGTGAATTTTTCAAAACGAATGTTTGTACCCTCGGGCGAGAAACCTAAGAAATCCGCGGAAAAATAGGAAAAAAACGGGTTTCTCCTGAAACTTTAAAAACCATACATCAGAAACAGGGAGGATTGACGTCATGATAATTTTTCAGAAGCTGTTGCTCGCTACCCCCGCGTATTCGAGGCGCGAGGCGTAGCGATTTTTATGTTAAGCCCACGCGATATCCCTCCCGGCACTTAGTGGATTGATTAAAATTTAGCGAGAGACCACTTACGTCTTTCTACCCGGTCATAAGCCGTACGGTTACTTCACGTGCGGCGCATTAGATATTCTTCGTGGGAGTTTCGATGGGATTCTCCACGACTTTGCTTAAAATGCAAATTCGCCGCTGGTATGTTCCTCACGCTCCTATCGGTCGCATCTACCGTCTCTAGATTCACGAACACCATCGCACGCGCTGAGCGCCGAAGAAGGCGNGGGGGGGGGGGCGGTTCTTGAGGTAAAAAATTCACCCTCACGCGCGCCTTTCCAGTCACGATCGGACACTTAGTCGCAGCGCGATTTAACGGCCGTTATCAGACGCGCAAAGGGCATCTTCATAGCATCAGATAAGACGGCGCGGAAGGAAGGAGTGGGAAGATAAAGGCCTGTTTAGTTTGATCGATGATGTACGAAGCGGGCAAAGGGAGGCGTTTCGTTAACCTCCGATTGTGGCCGTTCGATTTGCGACAGTTCGAACCGGAAACGGAAAATCGCGAGTCTCGCGAGAAAAGTTGCCTGGACCTGGCGATCAATTCCTAATAAGGCCCTGACTGCTATTTTATGTTACATGACTGATTAGGCGGACCTGGATAAACAATTCAGGTCAACCTGATTAGAACCTGATCAAATCAAAGATAAATTTCTAGTCGGGAGAAGAACGAAGGGAAGGAGGAAGAGAGCGAGAGAGAAGGAGATTCCTCGGGGAAATCACGCAAAAATCTGATTTCGCTCAAATAATTGCTCAAGATCGGCGGGCGAAGATAAAAGAGCGATTTTCTTGCGGCGTGGTACCAGGCGTATTCCTCGCGCGCATGCGGACGGGATCCAACGATCAGGGTCGTTTACACGGAACTGGCGCGAGACTCGACCCGAGCACTACCAAGTTTAACCGCATCTGAATGCAACGACCTGGAACTCGTGAACTCGCCCTTGCGGTCAAAGCAATGCTCATCGCGATTTACAGCGGGCAAACCCCTGGCCATAATAAAGGCCGTCTGAATTTCCGGCCGGTCTCTGCCGGGCGATTCAATATGGAGATTTACTTTCGCTTTTTTTTTTCTCACGACTACTCGTACGCGTGGCCGGTGTTGCGCGAGAACCATGGCTCCAGAGGTGAATGTACACGCTCAATTAGGCCAAATTAAACTTAAACCACCGCTGTTTCATTTTTACGAGCGCACCGAGGGGTAAAATATGCGCGCCAAATTAGCACGAAATTAAAGCGAAAACAACGATGTTTCATTTTATGAATATTGAGTAGTTATTTATCAAAATTTTGGCTATGACTTGACAACGATATTAAATTTAATAATAATAATAATAATAATTTCTTAAAAGGACGCTAATGATTACAAAATCTAAAAGTACTGAGGATACTATGTTGAGAACGACCAAAATGCGCGGCATCAGCTGTATAGCTGGTTTTACTGTTTAACCTAAATATATCTAAATAAATTATGATAATTAATAAGTAAGTTTATCACTGTAAAAGATACTTTCTCTAGTATAACGGTGTACTGCAGTAGATACAGACGACCCACGCATTGGTGAACCCGGTAATTAGTCGGACGAGAGAGAGAGAAAAAGAGAGAAGAGGAGAAGTAATACCCGACATAAACGACTTCTTTAGCCAAACAAGAAGAAACGAGTCTGTAATTATCTGCTTCAGCGAGCTTTCTTATATCTCGACGTTCGGCCGATATATATTTTTTTTAACTTCGCGTCCTCCCCCGCGCAAAATACAACTTCTAATTCTCTTCCTCCGCTAACGACCACTCGAGGAAACTTCTCTTTCCTTATGATCCGCGATATCCGAGGACCACCCTTCGTCCTCTGTCCCTTTCTCACGCTCTCTTTCTCAGCATTAGCGAATACCCGCGCGGAAAAAGTTTCGGCCAGAGAGATATTCCCATTGATATGGTAAAGAACAGTCCCGCAGTGGTAATGTCCGTAAATAGTCGGGCACGCGGCCCGAATGAGCGGCACGCGGGCGTGTATATGTGTGTACACACGCGGAACGTGGGGCAGAACAGTGCCTGTAATCCGCGACTGCCAAGATCTATAGCTTAACGTATCCCTCTCGTCCCCCCTGCGCCAACTCCACTCTCACAAAAGCATCTTTCGACCGTTTTTTCCAGCCCCATAAATCGGAAAAGCTCGCAGCTACGGATATATAAAATCTCCCGCGAGCCTCTTTCATCGCAAAGTCCGCAGGATTTTCCGTTCGCGGGGATGGAACTTCTTACGCGCTCGCCGTCGCTAAAAATAACGAATGTCGTGCGATTCGTTAAGCTGCCGCTCTCTTGCCGGAAAGCACGAGTTCCTTGAATTTTTCCTCGTCGGGGAATCGGTCGGTATAATCGAGCGCGTGCGCCGAGAGAGTTGCGGCCGATTTGCGATTGATTTCGCGTCCTGA